ATTGCCCTCTCCATCAATCTCTCACCACAGCTTCTTTTTTTTTTTAATAAAGATTTTATTTATTTATTTGAGAGAGCGAGAGAGAGAAAGCACAAGCAGGGGGAGCTGCAGGCAGAGGGAGAAGCAGGCTCGCCACTGAGCAGGGAGCCTGACATGGGGCTCGATCCTAGGACCTCAGGATCACGACCTGAGCCAAAGGCAGATGCCTAACCAACTGAGCCACCCAGGAGCACCCCCCCCACCACAGCTTCTTAACACTACAAGAAATATCTTGATCAGGGTGGTGGTTATAGAGTATACACATTATAAAAATTCACTGAGATGTATGCTTAGGATTTGTGACTTTACTGTATGTTCATTACTCCTCAGTAAAAAAGATCCTGCTAAAAGTCACTTCAGAAAGAACAATCAATCAATCAATCAATACAGAAACAAACAAACAAAAAGAAAGAACCAAGCAAATGTGAAATAGGTAAAAACATGCATGCACATTAGAAACTAGGAAGAAGGGGGGCCTAGGTGGCTCAGTTGGTTGAGCAACTGCCTTCAGCTTGGGTCATGGTCCCAGGGTCCTGGGATCGAGCCCCGCATCAGGCTCCTTGCTCAGCAGGGAGCCTGCTTCTCCCTCTCCCTCTACCTGCTACTCCACATGCTTGTGCTCTCTCTCTCTCTGAATAAATAAATAAATAAATAAAAATCCTAAAAAAAAAAAAACACTAGGAAGAAGCCATTACAATGCTGGTGATTACGAACAATTCTTTCTGGAATAACACATTTAAGAACAGATTAAGAGAAGATCCCCAGGGCTAACCCACAGGAAATCCTCAGAGGAGACTGGGGTTGGAGAGGGCCCTGGCTGGAGGCAGGGTCCCCGGCAAGATGGACAGGAAAACCCCAGGCTAGGGTGGCTGGGCTACCGTGGGGGGCATATGGCATTATAGCAGCCACAGCAGCAGAGACACAGGGGCTCTGAAGGTCCGCAGGACTGTCTTTGGGTCAGAGACTATGGAATGTCCCATGTGGAGGTCAATGGCAGTGAGGGGCTTCTTCCTTAAAGAGGCCATGTGATTTCTGCATCGTGAAGAAAGTCCAGGCCCATCAAATCCAGCTCCTGGTATGTTTGGTGCTTATGAATACAAAGGACTCCACTGGGATGACCCATGTTTCCAGCTCCACTGTGCAGCCCAAGGGAGGAGGGCCTAGCACTTTGATTTTGAAGTCTACCTTAAAAGAACAAAGAAAATTCTGAAAAAAACAGTGTGATGATGTATACCTCACACTAGCACCTATTAAGATATATTTAAAGAAAATGTGATCAAAACAGAAGTTACTGGTGTACAAATAGACAATTCACTGGAAGAGACCAGAGAGTCCTAGAGCAGACCCAGGTATACATGGAAATGTACTGTAAGATGCAGTCAGTATTTCATTTTTTAAAAATATTTTATTTATTTATTTGAGAGAGAGAGAGAGCACAAGCAGGGGGAGGGGCAGAGGGAGAAGCCAACTTCCCGCCGAGCCGGGAGCCCGATGCGGGGCTTGATCCCAGGACCCTGGGATCATGATCTGAGCCAAAGACAGATGTTTAACCAACTGAGCCTCCCAGGTGCCCTGCAGTCAGTATTTCAGATCAGGAGGCTAAGGATAAATATTTTAATCATCAGTGACTAGGAAAAAGAAGTTAAATCCTTAATTCTCACAATTCACCAAAATATGACAAATTCCATCTAGATTAAGAATTAAATGTAAATTTTTCCTTTGTTTTTCCTTATAAATGTAAAATTTTTAAAAAGAAACCATTTAAGTATTGAGAATTTATATGAACACATAATTCTGTAGCAGAAAAAAACCTTTCAAAGCCTGACACAAAGACAGAAACATAGGCTCGGCCTAGAGATCCAAATACCAATGAGTTCTCTCCACCAGGAACCTCCATCAACAATCCCACGGTGAATTATAACAATCTCCACCCCTGTCCCCCACCCCTACCTTTTCATGTATCCCTGATTCTGGCTCATCCTCCACCTGCTCACTCTACCATCCAGGTCAGTATCCTTGAATCACTCCAGACTCCTCCTGCTCCCTCCTCATTCCCCCCTCCCAGGGTTACCCCTTCTTGGTCACCTCTCATCCTGCCTTGAATCTGTCCAGGTTGAACCTCTCCAGCTTGGCCCTGACTGAAGGCCTCATCCTGCCACCCTGTTACCAGCTCAAGGATTGCCCATGGGCCTCTCTGCTTCTAGTCACAGCCACCTCCAGCCCAATGGCTTGGAAAGCCTATAAAGACCACCTTGATTGCATGGACATTTTAGATTTATGAATGCTTAAATATGAACAAAACTAAATGGCAAATGACAACCTAGGATAAAATATTTGTTAAATAAGAAAGACAAAGAGTTAATAGCTTGAATATATATCAAGTTCTCCTTTAAATCAAAAAGACGGGGGCACCTGGGTGGCTCAGTTGGTTGAGCAACTGCCTTCGGCTCAGGTCATGGTCCCAGGGTCCTGGGATCGAGTCCCGCATCAGGCTCCCTGCTCCGCAGGAAGCCTGCTTCTCTCTCTCCCACTCCCCCTGCTTGTGCTCCCTCTCTCATTGTCTTTCTCTCTCTGTCAAAAAAAAAAAATCAAAAAGACAAAAAAAGAATAAGCCACACTAAATAATAATAAAATACTGTACAAATGAAATGAAAAAAAGAACATACCAATAGAAAACTAAATAAAGCACATAATCAATTCTTCAAAAGAGAATAACCAGTGACTAATTGGCCTGTAGAAAAAGAGCCCAAGTAATAAAATAATAATTTTTAAAAATTTTTTAAAAATTTATTTGACAGGAGGCGCCTGGGTGGCTCAGTCATTAAGCGCCTGCCTTCGGCTCAGGTCATGATCCTAGGGTCCTGGAATCAAGTCCCACATCGGGGTCCCTGTTCGGCGGGAAGCCTGCTTCTCCCTCTGCCCCTCCCCCTGCTTGTGTTCCCTCTCTCTCTGTCTCTCTCTCTCTCT